GCTACTGGAAACTGAGTGTCCCGGAGGAACCCACCCGAGGGATAATAATGTTTCATCTAATCTAATCTAATCTAATCTAATCTAATCTAATCTAATCTAATCTCTCATTTTTCTTAGAAACAAACATTGGGTAAAAAACCCCCCCACATCTGACACCTCCGCATTTGCAAGTCTCAAGTGAGCATCTCTGCTTTACTGGAACAGCAGGAAAGTTAAGAACATAATAACACAAAGACATGTTGTCAGGTGTGGTGCAGAAACTTCTTGAACTGGAAACTTTTGTCTCATTCTCATGCGTCATGCTGATGTCACCGTGAGACATTTCATTGACAAAATCTTTCTTGGATATCAAACAAAGCAGAGATATGATCAGTTTAGATACAATTCATAGGATGTTTTGTGTAATCAATTTGAGGAGCAGTAGAAGGCCAGCTTTTGGTCCAGATTACGCACAAAGCCCCCCCCCTTTCCCTACCGGAGTCTTTGTCGTGGTTCTGGTGGCATAGGATCCGGCCCAGACAAGTTCAAATTACACTGACGTTGATCTCAAAGCAAAAATATTCAGCTTCACCTCAAGTTCAAGATCACAGTTATAGTTATTCTGAGAATGTTGTCAATGTTATAACTCAAAAGAAATTGGATTACCTTTGATTAGGGACAAGGTGCAGAGTGGGACTAGGACCAGGGACACTGCATTTCTGCCTTATTGCCTACTCACACCATGAACTAAACTGGCACTCTTAGCCTGGATTTATTTACAAATCATGATCATTGCAACAACATGTTCACACACCCATAATAAGACTTGACATACTTTTCTGGGACTTTCTAAAAACTTTCCTCCTACTAGGAAGGGCATAGTACAATGAGAGTTCTAAGAACTTGGGTGGAGGTTTAAGGGAAAAAAAGTAGAGCCATGTCGAGCGGTGTGATTAGTACAGGTGTGGATATAGCACACAAAAACATGATTAAAAAGAATCACCTTGAACCCACAACATGAATAACAAAAAAACAGGAAAGCGCAGTGATCGCATGTCCTGCCTTGTAACGTTGATTTAGTTATTGTTTGTTACTCATGTTGTGTTTATAGTGAAATGTTATAATGTTGTTAATATACAAAAAGGTACAAATATTGACAAAATTGTATGTTTTAAAATTTCTTTCTGCTGGAAACCTTTATACCATGCCATTATTGCTAATATCTATCTGCAGCAGTTCTGTTGTAGATGTGATTAACTTTAATTGTGGTTACTATTTTGCATCATTACACACCAGTGGCATGTGGGAACATTTCCAGAAAGCCTTGGAAATATGAAATATACTGACAGCCTTATGCAGCTTTCAGGACTCTTCATGGTGTGAGATTATTATGCTATCATATGTTATCCTATGCCTATAATCTGAATGAGTGAATCATGATGCTGCTGTAAGCCACACCATACTTCTTGTTATAGAGCAGACCTTCCCAAAGTGTGTGTGTGTGTGTGTGTGTGGGGGAGGGCGCGGCATGAAAAGGGAGAAAACAAAACAACTCTTGGACACTGCTAGCATGGGGCGCCCACACAAATGCAAAGCAGGAGATGAAGCATAGCTGAATATGTTTCCAAACCAACTTCATTCTAAGCCAAAGACTAGAAAATATGGTGAAGCATATCTTCCCTTTGGCTTCACCTGCACAAGTGGAAAGGTAGGTCTCCCTGCATAATTGTTTTCCCTGCGTCGAAAGCAGGTGCTGGGCTCTTCAAATCACGGACAAACAGTATCCTACATTCTTGATTTTTAGTTCTATGACTAACTACTCCTGACATTTTGGAGATGTTAGCTCTTTATACAGTAAAGTTACAGTGGGATACAAATAATATCAGGCTGATCCTGCCAGGATTTGTTCCCTTGGTTCAAACCACGGACTAACAGTATCCCACAGCTGTTCATGTTTTTTAACCCATTTTGCACAGAGAGGCATTTTTTGAAAAATGTATCGATAGCAATATTGAATATTATTACACAGAAAAAAAACAACAACATGTAAAATAATCACACCGTGACGCCTCTGCCTTTCTAAATAGAGGGACAGTAACTGCGTGTGTAAATGTAAGCGTGTAAAACCTGAAGATAGAGACAAAATACTGTTTATCTGACTATCTGCCATTCTGCAATTCATCTCCTGTAAACGTGCACAGCGTGACGTGGAAAAAGGCGCATACCTTTAACGTTGCATGACGAACTCTGAACGAACTTTTCATACTGCTGAGTTAAGGAGAGAATATTGTGTGCAGAGAGCACAGAGCACATTCCACAGGAGCTTCACCCCCACCTTTGTTGGAAGCAGAAAAACAGAGAGCCAAGGTCATAACTCAGGCTCACTGAGAGTTAGAAAGTATGTAATGTTTAAGTATTTACCTGTGGGGGACACTAGAGACTACAAACCTATCAGTAACCCTCCACCATTTTGAGATTTTGCTGTGACCCTCTTCATGCATGTCTCCCCATCCGGATGGTTTATGCTCATAAAGTGTTGAATTGTATGGAATAAAAGATTGTTGATTGAGCATTTATACACTGAGTATTGTTCTTCCTTCAGCCCAAAGATCGAAAGAATTGGGAAGATTTAACAATGGACATCTTCAACTTTCAAAACTTCAAAAAAATTAAAAAGCAAAACATTATTACTGTCACAGTCTACAGGGTCAAGTTTGAGTTTCTTTTCCTATCTGACTTTTTCTGTTTTTTTTTCTCTTGTACTTTGGTTCAAGTTTTATATCCTCTCATTATCCATTATTTATATTTAAGTTTTCAGTTTCCTTCTGCCTTTTGTCATGTCCTCCTTCACATTTTCCCTCTTTGAAGGTTTGTTGATTTTGTTTCTTTGTTTTTATACCTTCCTTAAATTCTGCAGTAATTTTGTTTTATAGTTTAACCTTTGTTTCTGAGTCCTGCATTTGGGTCAGACTCCTGCCTGCCACACAGGCAGCTGTGAGAATTAAATGCATAGTTAATAAGTATCTACTGTGTAATCAAAAATTATTGGCTCATGACTTTATCACGGATGAAGTCTTTTAACTTACATGCAGTACCATGATCAACTACAGACCGTATAAAAGCTTGATGTGGCTACCCTAATGCTTCTCCCTCGTAAATAAAGGCAGCCACCTCTGTGACACAGAACTTTTTTTTTATGAATCTTGCTTCACAGTGAAACCTTTGATAGCCATGCTCTGCTTGCTTGTTTTGCTTTGAAAAGAATTTGCACTGCTACTTTACTGTGGCAAACATAAGCTTGTCTTTACTGGAACTGGTGCAGACTTGTAGAACTGGTTTGTATTTGCATGTGGTGTATTTTAGCAGTTTGTCAAGGCATTAATGTTTTATTTGCTTTTTTCTACAGCTGTTTATTTTTGTCTTCATTTATTTTGTTTTACTTTAGTTTTATATTATTTCAAGAGGACCTTTTGCTATATTGGTCCACTTGATTGTCATAGTTTATTTGCTCTTTATAATTTATTTTTATTTGAAGTTATTACAATCAGAAAGGACAGAACTCGGGGACAGAAAAGAGAACTAATATGACTAAAGAGAAGTTGGGAAGAGAGTTAACAGAAGGAGAGGGAAAGAAAAATAGAGGAAAAGAGGGATAGAGAGAAAAGACACTGAAAATCTGCTTCTCTACTTGCTTTGCAAAACAGGAAAACAGCACAGAAGGGAAACTACAGCAACAACCAACATAAGCATAGGTAACAGTAAATAATAAATATTGAATCTTATTGAGTAGCACACAAAGCCAACAACGCATGAGATGTTTAAAGGCAGCAGCCAACCAAGATAGTGTGTGTCTGTGAGTACCTGTTTGTACACCTGTGTGTGTGTGAAAGCGCAGGTAGTCACATTTGACCATTGTGACTGTATTTATTCATAATATCTATTCTGTGTTATTTTCATGAGATTCATGAGCATGAGATTGTTATTTTTCTACAGGAAAATGAAAAAAAGGATATTATGTGCTATTAAGGACATGACAAAGGAATCACACCGTATGGAACTTTTAGCCAAGCAAAATCCTTAAAATAATGATTTTGCTTTAATGCATTTGGGTAAAGTTATAATTTGGTCACTGCCCGCCTCCAAACATCAAACCAATTTGACCCTAAACAAGAAAGGTGTTCATGATCTTCTCTAAGCTTTCCTCCACATCCACAC